AGAGTCCTGACCACCGCCCTTATGCCTGTTTTCCCTGACATGTGAACTCCTGGAGGCTTGGGATCATGTGATCCTGCAGTGACCACATATCTAGAATGTCCTGGAAGGCCCTATTCAGGGCACAACAGGTGTGAAGGAGCCTATGAGTCGTGAGGGACTTTAGAGGTGGGTTTAAAAAAAAACCACCTGGTTCTCCACCACCTGCAGCGTCAGCCTGAGAGCCTGACCCCAGATAAGGAGCCAGCTGACGCTAGGATGGGGCTGCCTGCGTTTTTATCATCCTTGTGGACAAATCATGGTGAACTTGCCCATCTGGTGCTGCCAGGCTAGCGAAACAGCACTAACCAACCTCTTGTCACTTCTCTGTGCTGCTCTTCTGAGTGCTTCTGTTACAGTATTTTGACCAATCCTTTAACTTACATATCTGTGCTACTACCACCCCGGTTTACAGGTGAGAAGAGGAAAAAAAAGAGCCAGGGCATGGAAAGGCTAAGTAACTTGCTTGAAGTAATAGAGCTGGGAGGCCAGACAGAGGGCTTTAGTCGTCCCTGTCTCCTCCATGTATTAGCTCCATGCAGTAGGTGCGAATCCAAACTTACTGAGTAAGGGAGGAGGGAATGGTGGATGGGTAGGTGGATGGGTGGATGGCTGAATGGCTGAGTGAGTAGGTGGAAGGGTGAGGGATGGATGGATGCATGGATGGATGACTGAGTGGGTGGGTAGTTGAATGGGTGAATGTGTAGATGGATGGGTGGGTGGGTGGAAGATGAATGAATGCAGTGGATGGATGAAGGGATGAAGGGCTGGATACGAAGATGGGTGGGTAGGTTTGAGTTAGAGGGCTTTCTCCTATGTGATTTATGAGTGTGCTCAGAGAATTCATCTGGAGACAACACCCCAACCCCAGTCACGGACCATAATGGACACTTTGAGTAGACAGGCCCTAGAGCAGAGACAGTGTCTGTGTGCCCATCACTGTGTTCCCGGTACATATTATACAGAGTTTGAAACACAGAGTGCTCTTGTAGGAATTTCTTCTAGTGAATTAAACCCCAACAGGCAGGCATCAGAGAGCTAAAACTTCAAAACCTTGCCAGCCTCCTTGGGCCACCCTGAGCAAAGACCTGTCTCAGGTTTGTGTTGGCAAACTGGGAACTTGGATGTGACATGTCCACTCTGTCTCCCCAAAGGAAGAAAGCAACCACTCACCCAGGACGGAGGCTCTACCAACATCCACAAGGAGCACATTTGGGAAGAACTTGTCAAGCAGCAGTTCTGTTAAGCAGATGTGTTTCCTTCCCCTGGGTTTGAAGATCAACCTGGAAGTTGATCCAAGGGTCTGTGGGGGCAGAGGAGTGTGTTGACACTTGGAGTCTTGGTGTCAGCATGTTTGATCTGTGTTACTGACGACTTCTGTCCTTCACTGGGTCTGTTGCTGCAAGTTTTTCATTGCACCTGCAAAGGAATAGACATGCTCTTTTACGTCATGATAGCATACTGATTTTTTTTTTTTTTTTTTTTGGTACTGGGGTTGGAACTCAGGGCTTCACGCTTGCTAGGCAGGCACTCTTACTGCTTAAACCATTCTGCTAGCCCTTAAAAGTATATTGTTAGTGGTGATTTACCCCCGTGGGTTGTACTCACAGACCTTAAATGCAATAGTGAAATAAATGAGCCAGAAATGTCACACCTGAACCCTTGCCCCGACTTCATTTCCATGCTCTTCCTAGAAAACAGAAGTCAGGGAAGGAAGTGAGTCTAGAAGAGAGCCGTCTTCATGGGCCATGCTTCTGACTGTTGCTGAGGCTGAGTGGAAGACCGACGGTGGGTGGGTTTGAAGTGACCACGTTTATCTCTCTGAGTTCTGTGCATCTCCAGTGGGGAGCAAGATCGTTTTAGTCAAACAAGTTATTAACAGTGGAATAACTATGTACTTTATTTCAAAGTGCTAAAATACACAGTGGGACTCCACAGTCTTGTTACTTAAGGTGAAGACAGAGCAGGTAGCACATGTTAGAAATGGGTTGAGTTAAAGAAAAGGAAAGTCATGAACAGCTGTAGGCAGGGAAGGCCATGCTGGGATGATTGCAGGAGGGTCTCAGGTTTAGGAAGCTCCCCCTCTCGGGGGTAGGGGGAGCTAACATTCAGCTAGTGTTGGCTGCTGTTCCGAGTTGTTCTGCATTATTTAACGTTAACATGACTAACGTTTTGCGCTGTGGCTCACTGACTCCTCCTGCCAGCCCCGTGAGCTGGGCACTACCGAGGCATGGAGAAGCAAATGCAACCAGAACACAGACCCAGGCAGTCTGATGGGAGCATGAGCCCTCGCCTCTGCACTCTCCTGACTCTTACAAGGTAATAACAGGAGGGCAGAAGGGAGGCCTTCCTTTGGCCTTGCAACCTGAGACCCCATTCCAATATCCATGTGCCGACAGAACCTGACTGTGCCTCGATTTGCCAGCCTCCAGGATGGGACCATTGCACTTCTGAGGCAGGGTGTGTGTGTCCAGGCTTGCCCTTCTGCTCTTTGGGGGTTTGGCTTCTGTGAGCTCTCTGCCCAGTATCATGGCAGATGTTGGTAGCAGAGGGGCTCCCTTGGCTTGGATTGAGGTAGGACACCTGGGTTCTGTGACACTTACCAGTGTGTGATGCTAGGGAGACTTTACAATGGCCACCGAGGGCTCCACCTCACCCTCCTCAGGCCACACAGAGCCTCACTAGATAGGCTGAGCTGTTGGGCCAGTCTCCACAGCCCTAAAAGTTCCCTGAAGAGTATTAAACAACAGGGCCACACTATCAGAATGGGTTTCGTGAAGGGCACTTTGAACGCTGAGTGGAGAATGGATTGGAAGGCAGCCAGGATGGAACCAGAGGGACCAGGAAAGTAGCCGACATCCAGTCAGGTGATGACCAGGACCATAGAGGTCCTGTCACAGAGGCTGTGACACAGAGGTAACCAGAGCCAGGAGCTATGTAAAGGTGAATTTGGTAGGCTCACAGAGCAGCCAGGCAAGGAGGTGGTCAGGTCTGCTGCATACCAGTCAGCATGTTCTGGGAAAGGCCTGGTACCTGCTTGCTGCTTGGTGAGCAGTCCAGGGGCACAGGGAGCTTCCCCATCCCTTGCCACCTCCGGTTATTCTCACAGGTTTAATGTGCCCATTTCTCTAGGACAGAGAGCCCTCCACTCTTGCCGCCTGCCTAACACATACAGATGATTATGAATTGGCCCTGGTTGCCTGGGCTGAATGAAGCTGTGAGGTGCACTTGCCATCCTGCAGGTCCTGAAGGACCCTGGGCTCTACTGAGCAAGTAGAACAGCTCCTTAGCAGGGGGAAGGGGGACCTGGTGCTGAGGTGTGCTTTCTTTCCTACACCTTGGCGGTAGGTCGTTTGGCAAGAAGGTAAATTTTTGAAAGGCAGAAGAAAGAGGTCTGAGCAGAAGGGCAGCCCATTGGATAATAGATTTGGTCATGGCTCAGCCTGGGTCAAAGCTTAGTTTGTGTCTCTGTGCACAAGGGTACAGCCATAATCCCCCACCTCTTGGTGTCATAGGGAGCCCAGGCCACCCTGTCCTCGATCTGCCTGGCCTTGGGGTCCCTGTGGAGTGGGGACACCCTTGCTGTTCTTGGCAGAACCTCTGATTGCCTGGGCTGTTGGGTTCTGGGGGCCGGCATCATGGTTCTGGCTCCCATGGTGGCTAAAGGAGGAACGCTAGGGTGAGCCCTGCTCAGCTCCACATGCTCCTTTCTCCTCCCCTGGGGTCCCCTGGGGCATGCTTCGTCCTCCCTGTACCAGGGTCAAAGCCCGGGCAGTGCCCCTGCCTCACTGAGGGCCTGGCTGCAGCTGATCAGCCGTGCAAGAAGTGGATGCTCCCTCTCCTCTCCACCGTCCACCACCAGTGTTTCATCTTGGCATCCCTAGGGCAGAAATAAGTACTCTATAAGAGCTTACAGTTGGGGGTGCAGCTCAGTGGTAGAGCACTTGCCTAGCAGGTGTGAGGCCCTGGGTTCCATCCCTAGCACCTCAAAAAAGTAGTTTGACTAGGTGCCTTAATTTTGAGTAGGTAGAAAAGGTTTTGTGAGAAGCAAGTCTGAGATGACATCATCAATGGCAGGAACGAGTCACTGAAGGTTTGTGAGGAGAGGGATGCTTCTCTGCTGTAGAAGTCACCAGACCTTGTAAGCAAGGAGGCTAAGAGCAGGAAGCAGAGACCACAGCCTCCACTGTGGGGCTCACAGTCCGTGCGTGAGTGTGTGTGTGAATTGCCCACCTCGGAGCGCAGGATAGCGTCGGCTGTGCTCACCAGTGTTTTATGCGCTGAAGTTGACAGTCGTCTCCATATTTGGAATGCATGGGGCAGTAACTTAATTAGTGGCCATTCCTGCAGAATAGTCCAGTCATGTAGTGATGAGGCTGTCACATCTGGATAAGCTGTGACCCTTACGGCACCTGCTGTGAGGTCATGGTCCCCGGGTGGTCCAGGTGGAAACGCATACCTGCGTTGTCTTACCATGATCTAGCTGTTGCCGAGACTGGGACTAGGGACTGGGACATGCAGCCTGGCCTCTGTCCAGCACATCACACTGTTGCACTCGTTACTCAGGCCCAGAGGACATGGTCACCTGAGATTGGCCCTGCTGCCAGACTAGGCCAGTCCAGGCCATGAGCAGTCAGATAGAGCATCTTGTGCCTCTAGGTAAATTGATTAGGCTTTCCCTCGGCATTGCATCTGGCCTCAGGCCTAACAGGGATACAGGGATGTCATGGGGTGTATGTGCAGAGGCACAGGGGTAGCAGAGAACTGGGGATATTCGAGGCATTTGAATGGAGGCTGTGTGACCAGGGTGGGCCAGGGAGTGTGACTGAGTCGTCTTCATTTCTGGTCCATGGGGACCACAGGACATACACAGCACTCTCAACAGCTCACAGCATGGATAAGACCCCACTGGTCCCCTCACCGTTGCTGACCAGCAGCTTAATCTCTTTCCCTTTTTCTGCTAGTGCCTACACAGAGCCCTACAAGGTCTGTTCCATCTCGGCGGCCCCCAGAGAGGACCTCACATCGGATGAAGAGCAGGGAAGCTCCGAGGAGGAGGATGGTGCTCTGAGAGATCCCAGCCTCACCTCCAAGGTAGGGTGGCCCCCAGGTGAGGGGCTGGGGATGTGGAGTTCAGAGATGTGGAGGTGGAGAGGGGACAGGAGAGGGTCTGCCCCCTCCCTTCTCCATGAGATGTGGAGAGAGCTGATGGAGGCAGCCAGCCTGTACTGGATCCAGAGGCTGGGTCACTGGGCAATGGGACTGCAGCTCTAAGAAGCATTGGCAGCAGGCCCCTGCATGGTGACAGGAGAGCAGAGTGGTGGGTGAAGTGGATAGAACTGCCTGGTTTGAATTTGAACTCAGGGCCTTGCTAGGCAGACACCCTATCACTTCATCCCTGAGACAGACTTGGATTCTGATGACCTTGGTTTCCTCATCTGTGAAGTGGGAAACCCAGGAAGGGATGGTTGACTCCCAGAGGGGACAGGAGGAGAACTTTGTGTTAATGCTGTCCAGTAGAGGTGATTTGGCTTCCTGGGCATCCCTGGGATCCTAGAATCTGGAGCAAAAAGAGATGGTGTCAGGACTTAGTCCCTACCTTCAAGGTGGGATCCAGAAAGCTATAGCCAGAACCACCTGCAGCTCCACCCTGAGCTGGGTCATCAATGGCCAGTCACTGTCACTTCCCATCAGGTGGTCCTGAGTCCCCTGTCTCCAAAATGGGAACATCAGTAGTGACTGTTGAGATGTTTGAATGAGGCCACATAGTAGGGACACGGTCACTAGCTTTTATTTCTGAATCTGAGAGGGAGAAGGGGTTAAGAGAAGGTCTGGCCTGTTTAGGACCTCTGTGAAGACATGAAGCCTGAGGGCCCTGGGCATTGGTGGCCAACTGGAAGCAAGGGACAAGTGGCATAGTGACTAAGAGGTTCAACTGCAGCTTTACCACTTGCTGGCTGAGTGATATGGGCACCTTCTTAAGCACTGTGTTCCTTGGTTTCCATCTTTGAACTTGACATAACAGTAAGAGTGGGTGCTCTGGAGGACTGACGGGAGTGAAGTCTAAGGAGACTTAGAACATGCCTGCCACAACGTGAAAACACACCAAGGCCAGCACTTCAGGACAAGAGGTGACACTGGCCCAGAGCAGGGGGCAGGCTGCCCCCAAGGTCAGGTTGGGCTCAGTGGTGACAACGGCAGGGGACATGGAAGAGGCAGCAGCCAGCTGGGGTGGGTGGGGCCAGGAGTCAGCGCCAGGAGCGCAGAGGGACAGTGCGGCCGGGGTCTTCTCCACAGGTCAGTTCACTCTCCAGCTCCCTGCCCTCCTCCCTGCCCATTTGTCTTTATGAGGTGTGCATGGTGTGCCCACGTGAGGAAACCTTTAACTCCAGGCTTGCACTGTGCAAAGCGTGGTCCAGCAGCTTCTCCTCACTACCAGGCAGATCATTTCAGGTCCGACCTCTTCCTGCATCCCTCCGCACTCCCAGAGCCAGCTGTGATAGAGTTTGGTGCCCATCCTTCCAGAACTTTCTCTGTATGTTCTCTTGCATCGACCATACTGAGTAGGAAACAGAGTGTACTGTCTGTGGAGCTATTTTCACAGAAATTGTATCACCCTGTCAGAAACCTGGGGGGTAACTTGGGTTTTTCAATAGTACCTTAAAGATTTTCCCACATTGGTTCCCTCATAGAGTTTTAATACTTTTGTTTGTCTGCAGAACTGGGGTTTGAACCCAGGGCCTGGCACCTGCTAGGCAACCACTGTACCACTAGAACCATGTCCGCAGCCCTTTTTTAAAAATTATTATTCATTTTGTTTTTGAGACAGGTTTCAATAACTTTGCCTAGGCTGGCCTTGATTTCTTGCTCCTCCTGGCTCCACCTTCTGAGTAGCTGGATTATAGGGCTGCACTGCCACACCAAGCTTGATTTACACTTCTTTTCACTGCTGCATGTTACTCTGTTGTGCAGTGTGCTGGGGGTTCCCTGACCATCCTGCTAAGGACCATTTACGGTGTTTCTGATGTGTTTCCCATTCTCCCAACAGCACTGTGGTGAGCTCGTCCACACACCTCCTCAACACGTGCAGGATTTCTTGGGGGCTGGGGAGGTAGCTCAGTAGGAGGATGCTTGACTGCCCCTGTCGCATGTTTGAGGCTCTGGTTCCATTCCCAGCACTGCAAAACAAACAACAACAATCTTTTGTCTAGGGTAGATTCCAAGAAGACCGTCAGTGTCTTGGAGAGCAGGGCTCATGCTTAACCTCCACGTCTGCTGCTGCATCACCCCAAAAGGCTATCAGTACACTCCCTGGCCACACTCCACATATGTGTCCCTAAGGACTGAGCCCAGGCTGCAATGGGGGCCTGGCTTCCTGCTCCTCCTCACTGTAGTGCTGGGGGGTGGGGAGCTGGGGGAAGGCTCTCTTACTCCTCCCTTGTCCTCCCCTGGGTCTGAGAACTTCATTTCTTTGAAAGGCAAAGACCCCTCCTCCTGTTCTCCTCCCTCCCATCTCTGGTCACCTCCAAGGAGAAGCCTGTCGAGGGTGCCCTAGGGGCTCAGGAAGCACATTTGGGGGTGTGATGGTGAGCCTCACCACCCTGCCAGGATGCTTGGGAGCAGCCAAGTCAAGAGGGAAGAGGTTTTGGGAGCGGGACAGGAGGCCGAGTCCAACTGGTCGTCCCATGTGTCTGGCCTCTCCCTCTGTCCTACCCACAGATGCACAAAGGGGTGTATGTTGAAGGAAAGAGGGAGGGAGGAAAAAGGGGAAATCGAGAAGGGCTTAAAAATAGCTCTAGTTGTGAAAGAAGACCTTCAGAGCCCGGCTGGCATGTCCGTCCGTGTTCCCTGACAATGAGCCTGCTTTTCATGCTAAATACCAGCTCCTCCGAGACCAGCCAGGAGCCAGCCAGGAGCTGGGGGCCCCTCCCAGGTGCCTCCTCCCTCACAGGCTGCATGTTGGGGCCACATTTTCCTGAGCAGTGCCCCTGAGCCCAGACTGAAGTCTGGCTCATGTTCTTCTAGAACTGACCATTCCCATTGTTATCCTCTCCCTGGCAGGTTTTCTCCTGCACAGCCAGATCCACATGCCCTCCTCTGCCCCAGGCTGCTGCCTCTGCCAGGCCAGCTGTCCTTGGACCTGCAGCCTCACCTTGAGCTCTGCCCCAAGTTCAACCCTACACTGTAGGGTCCACCTGAACCTTGCTTACAGTCAGCCCAGTCTCTGGCCTGACTTAAATATCAACACGTGCTTCCTCCCTGCCTCACATATCTGAACTCAGGTGTGCACACCAGCTCATCCGCTCTGCTCACTACCCTGGTGAGGCAGCCTGGAACCAACTTCCTTTACCAACTTCCTCAAGCTGCAGCCTGTGCCTCTCCTTCCCAGAACACAGCCCTCATCTCCTGTGGAACACAATTGCCCTCCCTGTCTGTACCTCGTCCTCTGTATCTTCACTTGGCAGCTCCCGGTCCCCATTCTTCTTTGTCAGACTAGGATTTAATAAGCTCACGTGCTGTGTGCACACCCTTATAAGGACTGCAGGTACAATAGCGACCTGTCTGACCTGATAGAGTCTACATCCCAGAGAGGGAGAGGATCCACACACCTGAAAGCCATATGCCAGGTGGTGAAGAGTTGTGTACACGGAGACGGGTAGAGCTCCTAGGATTGGGGAGGAGGGGGGCCGGGAATTTTAGGGAGGATGGAGAAAGGGATTTTTCCTTTCAGTTATTGAAAATTGTGGTAAAATATGTGTAACATTAGCCATCTCCACCATTGTAAGTGTGCAGCTGAGGGGCACTTAGCACATTCATTCACCATCCATCCCACTTCCATTGCAGAACTCCTTTGTCTTCCCAAACTGACATCCGCCCCACCAAACACCAACTCCCCAACCCCTCCAACCCCCGGCTCCCCCGAGCCATCCCACTTTCTTTTCACCTCTGTGAATTTGACTAGTCTAAGGGCCTCATGTGGGTAGAATCATCTAGTACTTGTTCTTTTGGGACTGGCTTAATTTGCTTCACACGGTGTACTCAGGGTTTGTCCACGGGGTAACATGGGCCAGAATTTCCTTCCGTTTCATGGTGTGGCCGGCATGTTAGGTGCATCCGCTCATCCATCCATGACCCTTGGGTTGCTTCTGACTTTGACCATTGTGACTGATGCTGCCGTGAACCTGGGTGTGCAAGTAGCTCCTCGAGATCCTGCTTTCAGCTGAGTGTACGTCCAGACGTGAGATTGCCGGGTTGTCCCATGATTCTGTTGTTCATTTTTGAAGACCTGCCGTACACTTTTCCACAGCAGCCAGCAGTGCACAGGGTTCCAGTGTCTTTTGTGATGAGGAAGAATTAGGTACTGGGGTTTGAACTCAGGGCCTCCTGCTTACTAGGCAAGCAATCTAACATTTGAGCCACTCCGCCAGCCCAGGAAGAAGTATTTGAGCAGGCAGCTGAGCAGTGTGAGGTACAAAAAATGCAAACCCAGGGACAGTGTCACAGACAGTACAAGGGCAGTATGGGGGGACAAGCTCAGTGAGCTAGAAACCCAGAGCCACGTGAAATGGGGGGAACAGGAGATGCTGGAGAGATCCTTGGAGTCTTCCTGAAGCCCCCACGCATCGCCAAGCCTCCCCACCTGCCCGCCTACCCTACTGCTATCATTTGCTCTACACAAGGTGCCCTGTCCATGCCCAGGCCCACTCCACACTATCCACCCTGGGCCGGGCTTGCCTGCCTCAGGCCTGGTGGGCTCCTTTTCCTTGGGAGCTCCCTTTCTCTTGACTTCACTACTACGGCCTCTGCTGCTTCTCTTCCCACTTCCTGGACTGCCCAGCTCTGTCCCCTCTTCCATATTGGACATTTCCCAAGGCCTGCCCTGCCCTACTTCCATCTCACATTCAGCTTTGGTTCCAGGCCAGCTGCCCGGCCCCATGCAGAGGGCATCCTTGAAGCAGATGCCCTGGCTCATTCCACACTCATGCCTACGATCTACCCTCTTAGGTCTTTCTAGGAAGTCCCAAACATCCCAAACTGAGCTGGTCCTCTTTCCATCCCCCAGCGTTCTTCTCCTCTTGCATTTCCCATTCTGG